CTATGTTCTTGATCCAAAATTGGAGTTTATTTCTGATGCAAATGATGAAGATACTGATGAAATTCGTGCTGAAAGAAAGAAGCGTGAAGAGGATGAGTTGATATGCTGGGGTCATATACTAAATGCACTTTCGGATCGCTTGTATGATCTCTATACCAACACTACTTTGGCAAAGGAAATATGGTACGCTCTTGAAAGTAAATATAAAGTCAAAGAAGAAGGTACAAAGAAATTTTTGATTTCTAAATATTTTGATTTCAAAATGCTTGATAACATACCATTATTGCCTCAAGTCATGAACTACAAGTAATAGTCAACAAACTGAAAGAGGTGAAGATCGAACTTCTCGAAACTTTTCAAGTGGGAGCAATTATTCCTAAACTCCCGGGGTCCTGGAAAAGTTATAGGAAGAAGGTTCTTCATAATTCCGAAAACTTATCTTTGGAGCATATACAAAACCATATTTGCATAGAGGAAGAATCAATGGCAAGAGATGAGATCGAAGGTTCTTATGATGGCTCTTCAAAAGCCAATGCCTTGGACAATGTTGACAACACCAACAAGTACAAGAAGAAGGGAAAACCTCTTGACCCTAAAAAGGATCAAGGGAAGTTCAAAAATAAGTCCAAATGACCTTACTACATTTGTGGAAAGCCGGGACACTATGCAAGAAATTGCAGGCATAAAAAATATCCAAAGAAGGAAGGACATGTGAACTTCATTGATGAAATTATCGCTGCGGTGAGCGAAATCAATGCAGTCCAAGAAAAAGTTCGGGGATGATGGTATGACTCCTGTGCAACCATCGATGTTTGCTATGATAAGTTACTCTTTAAAACTTACCGTGGCATTCAAGATGGTCAAGAAATTCAAATGGGAAATGAAGGAAGATCAAAGGTGATTGGCAAATGGAACATGGAAATCATTTTCACTTCGGGGAAGAAAATAACTTTGACCAATGTCCTTCATGTACCTGATATGAATAGGAGCTTAGCAAGTGGAGTTTTGTTAGGAAAACCTGGAATAAAAACTGTTCTTGAATTCGGGAAACTTATACTAACCCATAATGGGTATTTTGTTGGAGAAGGCTATTCTACTGATGGAATGGTCAAATTATGTACCTTGGAGGATAATTTTAATAAAATCAAATAATTTGCTTATGT